GCGCTGAACCCGCTGCTCATCGCCGCAAACTTTGGTCGATACACCTAGCCTTTCTTGCGCCCAAGCGAATTTGCGCAAGATCCACATCAAGCGCAGTTCGTTACTGCTCACATCGGGTTTGAGTGGCTGGTTCCAACCCTAGTCCGCCTGCATCCGTGGCGCTGTACAAATGCTTTACCTGTAATACGTACGCGAAGCTCCAATCTCAATGCCAAAAGTGCCTTGTGACGTTTCACACGAAACAACCGCTGATGCTACAGAAAGCACCTCAGTGTGGCATGAGGATGTATTGCGCCCAGAATGCTGCTCGCAGGCACACGCAGAACACGCAGGCACACGCAGAGGCCATGTCAATTCGTGATGAAATTGCAAGAATTTTTGTCGGGACGAGCGTCTATTTCCCCCCCGTTTCTTTCAGAATGACTGCGCTCAGAGCCTCGATGGACCACTGCAAGCAAAAATCGAGAGATTGTTGTTTGGTCGTCAGCCAATCACGTACTGAAGCAGCCCCTGCCTTGTGAGGTAGTTCCGCCCTCACCTGGCGGGACAGTGGGGCACCAATGAAGAACACACTAATGAAGCTCACGCCGAATCCTTGGAGGCGGCGTAGACCAGGAGGTCAATAACTCTGTTGGAGTAGCCGGACTCGTTGTCGTACCAAGAGACGAGCTAGACGCGCAAGTGCAGGTGTGAGCAGCGTCAGTTGAGCAAGTCAGAGTCCAGAACCGCACAACAGGGCTCTGTGAACGCTACTCACCTTGACGAAAGTGGGGCTGAGAGCAATACCTGCCTTGGCGTCAAAGACGGAAGAGCTGGTGTTGCCGTTGAAGTCGGTAGAGACAACATCGTCCTCCGTGTAGGCGAGAATACCCTTCAGCTCGCTCTCGGAGGCACGCTTGATCTCAGCCTTAATCTCGTCGTAAGAAGCGCCCTTCTCCAGACGAGCGGTCAGGTCGACGACGGAAACGTTGGTGGTGGGAACACGGAAAGCCATGCCGGTGAGCTTTCCGTTGAGCGAAGGAATGACCTTGCCGACGGCCTTGGCCGCACCAGTCGCAGAGGGAATGATGTTGGTCGAAGCAGTTCGTCCGCCACGCCAGTCCTTGGCGGATGGACCGTCCACAGTCTTTTGAGTGGCGGTGGTGGCGTGAACAGTGGTCATGAGACCCTCGGCGATGCCGAACTTGTCGTGGATGACCTTTGCAAGGGGCGCCAGGCAGTTGGTGGTGCAAGAAGCGTTGGAGATGACCTGGACCTTGGGGTCGTAGGCGTCAAGGTTGACACCGACCACAAACATGGGCGCATCGGCAGAAGGAGCAGAAATGACGACCTTCTTGGCGCCGCCCTTCAGGTGAGCAGCAGCCTTTTCGGTGGTGGTGAAGACACCAGTGGACTCGACGACGTAGTGAGCGCCAGCCTTGCCCCAAGGGATGTTGGCGGGGTCGCGCTCAGAGAAGACCTGGATGGCCTTGCCGTTCACGATGAGCTTGCCATCCTTGGTAGAGACTTCACCCTGGAAAGGTCCGTGGGTGGAGTCGTCTGTAGCCGACGACATGACAAGGTAAAATTAGCGCGCTGCCCGAATGCCCACGGCCGCCACGAGTCACATGCAATGCGATGCGGTGCGATTCTCTGGTCACATGTGAGAAGAGTCGCACACGCACGCGCCCAGCATTTGTGCTGAATGCCGGGCGTTTCAACCTTGTCCGCCTCGATTTCGAGCGCGCACGAACAGCTGACTTGCTTGACCCACAGTCATAGGCGACATTACTTACACTTGAGCATGTAGACCTGTCAAAATGGCTCGCATGTCCGCTTGTCAGTCTTTGAGCCTCGAGACATCGTGTTAAAGCACGCTCCGACCCCGCTCACCATGTACTCGAGGTCGATGAAAGGGTCGTTGATGGCAACGACATCAGCCTTTCCGTGCTTGATAGAAGCGCGGAAGACGATACGACCAATACGACCGAAACTGCGAGAGTCGTGGAAGGGGCGGCATGATCGGTGAGCCTTGGACCCAGAGCGGCGCGTAGAGGCACACCTGTCCCCTGTTTTTGGGTGGTGAGTGAATGCGCAGCAGAAAACTCACCCGTTGATGCCTACTTGGACAGCCATGATGTGCTAGAGTGAGTGTGCGTGAGTATGCTTGGAAATGTGATGATTGTGCAAGTCAAGATGTGACTGGGGTTGAGGAATGAGAGGTAGGAGCACATTCAGAAATCATTCGCTTTGCTTTGCACTCACTGAATGGCCTCCGCTCAACCCAGGCCTGTGCATTTGATTTGCAGACGATTGACTGACAGACCAGACCACACGCACAACGGCGGTAGACCTTCGACGGACGTCTCCACCTGTGCGCTCTGCGCAGGATGGAGCTGGCTGCCTGGGTGCCTGCGCCTGCCTTCGATGGGCAAACACGGGTGAGCTGTTGCAGGCGCGTGGCGGCAAGGTCGCGCGGCAGCATCCTTTGCCACGTCCGAGCTGCATGCATGCGTGCAGCATGATGCATCAGGCCTGCCCGCGTTGCTGCGGGTGTGACTCGAGCACAGCTATATAGCATGCAGCATCAGCAGCGCACGGTTCAAGCGCCAGTCGCCGCGCGCACACGGCGGGCTGCGATCGACCGATCAAGCGCCGCGAGCGTCATTGAGCCATACATGACCCTGACCCAACGCATCGCTGCTGCTGCTGCTGCTGCAGCTGCAGCTGCATGCAAATCACGAATGATGGGCAAGGACTCCAAGATCTTCCCCAAGCGAAACAAAACGCCGGATTTTGGACTTGACTGAAATGAGCGTTGGCCGCGAGGGCGGTACAAAAAAAGCTCTAGATTGCCATGCAGCCTCGACCTCTGCGGCTTCCAATCTGGGTGTGCGCATATATAGATACCATCGAGATCCTAAAGCTTACATTGCTCCAGCACAAAGAACAAGCGCAGCTCATGAGTAGTCAAGTCATGACCCCATCCTGATGATGCTGCTGCTGCTGCTGCTGCTGCTGCTGTGTGGACGCGGTCAGCATGCACTTTCCGTCTGGTGCATCTGTAATTCAGGGTTGCGCGCAGCATGCCCTTCCCGGCCTCGCCCGGCCGGTGCTGCACAGCCGCGGCGCGCGGCGCTTCCACGTGCTTTTCTCGAAAAAGGAAAAAGCGTGCTTCGCTTGCGTAGCCCATCATCGGCCGTTTCGGAAAAGTAAAGTCGCTCGCATCAGCATCATCACTCAAGTGATCTTTGTAGGACATGAATGCCGAATGAGTCCGAACAATTTTGAATGCTCAGAAGTCAAGAGAGGTTTCTGGTGAGCCCACATGCTATCTCATGCTCAACCGACGCCACTCGCCCATCAAGCCTACCGAGAACGACTCGACGCCAACTCGACGCAATCGTAAATCATGAGTACGTGCGAGCTTGCTAACCAATTCCGCAGTCTGAATGAAGTATTCAACGAATCCTGATCAAAAAATCGAAGTG